AGTCCAGGAGAAGAAGAAAAGAAAGAGAGAGGACAAGGATAGAGAGGGAAGGTACACAGGAAGAAGAGAAGAAGAGAAAATAGGGAAAAAGAGAGGAGAAGAAAGTAAGCAGAAAAAGAGAGGAAAGAAGACAGAAGAGAGAAGAAACAGAGAGAAAGAAAGAGATAATGAAAGAAAGGGAAGACATGAAGAAAAAGAAAGAAGAAGAAGGTAGTAAGAGGAGAAAGATGAAGAGGAAAAGAGAAGGGATATGGGGAGAAAGAGAGAGAGACAAGGACAATGAAGAGGCGGGGTGGTGGGGGTGGGGGGTGGGTGGGGGGGGGGGAAGATAAGACCAGCAAAGAAGATAGTAAAAAAAAAGAGAAGAGTGAAAAGAAGAGACAAGAAGAAGGAAGAGGAAGTTAAAAAAGCAGGAGAGAAAGAAAAAGGAAGAGACAGAAGAGGAGAGCAGAGAGAAAAGAGAAAAATAGAGAAAGGCACGAGAGGAAGGTGAAGAAGAGAGACCAGAGGAGAGAGAGAGACAGCAGAGAGGGAGAGAAGAAAAGAAAGAAGAAGAAATAATTTAGAGATAGCAGTAGAGCAGAAAGAAGAGAGAGAATAAGGAGAGAAAGAATAAGAGGATAGAGAAAAGACACAACGTAGAGAAAAAAAGGAAAAGAGAAAAACGAAAGAGAGGAGAATCGGGCAAGCAAGGAAAGAAGGAAAGGAGAGAGAGAGTAAGAACAGAAGAGAAAGAAGCAGATATAGAGAGAGAAGCAAGGAGAAAGAAAAGTAGAGAAGAGACGCAAAGAGAGAAAGGAGAAAGTGAAAAAATAAAAGGAGGATAAAAAAGAAAAGAATATAGAAGGAAAAGAATAGAGCGAAGACAAAGAAAACAGGAAGCAAAGAAGAGAAGAAAGAGGAGAAAAGAGTAGGAATTAAAGAAAAGGAGAGGGGGGGAGAAGGAGAGCGAAGAAGAGAGAATTTTTTTTTTATTTGGTTTTTAGAAGAGACAAGGATGAGAGAGGGAAATAGACAGAGTGACAGAAGAAGAGACGAGGGTAGAAGAATAAGAATTAAGAATAGGAAAGAAGCACCAGATAGAGAACGAACGAGAGAAGAGAAAGAGGAAGAAGAGACGAGAAAAAAGGAAGAGAACAGAGAAGGGCGATGGAAAAGAGAGAGGAAAAAGAGGAAACGAGCTGGGTAGCGAGAGAAATGACAATAGAGAAAGGAGAAAAGAAAAGGAACAAAAAGAAGAGAAAGAGAAGGACAATAAAAAAAGGAAGAAGAGAGAAGAGAATAAGGAGAGACAAACATGAGAAAAGAGGAGGATAAAGGAAGAGAAGAAGCAGAGAAGAGAGAACGGAGGTAGAGGGAGGAAGGGGTGAGGGGCAAGAAAAAAAAAAAAGAAAGGAAGGGATAGAGAAGACATAAAACGAAGACGAAGAAGAGAGAAAGAAAAGAAAAAATAGGAAGAAGGGAAGAGATCCCTTTCGAGTAAAGAAGGAAAAAGGAATAAGAGGGAGAAAGAGTGGGAGAGGAAGAGCAAAAAGGAAGATAACGAGAAGTAGAAAAAGAAGGAGATGACATGAAAAAGATGATAATGGAGAAAAGAAAAAAGTAAAAAAGAATCTTGCAAGCCTTACAAAAGCTGTGGACACCATGTGATTCAGTCTATATCACACAAATAGTTAATAATGTACAAATTACCAATATCTTGTAAATAGTCAAAATCATACAAACTCTCAATATCTTATAAATAGTCAATATTTTAAAAACTGCCTATATCTTACAAAATTTCAATTTATCACACAAAAATAATATTATTACAAATTATTACTATCCTACACATGGTCAGTATCATAAAAACTGTCGACATCTTATAAATATTCAATATCTCTCATATTGTCCATATCTGGCAAATAGTCAGTGTCATGAAAACAGTCAATATCGCACAAATAGTCAATATGACACTAATAAACAGTATCAGTCAGACTGTCACTATTTGCACCAAATGGTCAGTATATTTCAAACGGTCAGTATCATACAAACGGTAAGTATTTTACAAATAGTCAGTATCATTAAAATTACCATTATTACATCAAGTAGAAATCAAATAAAAGATTAAAGTCACACAAGCTTTGAGAACAGCAAGAATTAAACACTTAAAAGTAAATACTCTGGTCATTCCCACAAACCAAATAAATCAGCCAATATAAAGACAATTATACAATTATTAATTATAATAATTAAATCAATATTGCACAAATAGTCAGTATCGCACAAACAGTCAGTATCGTTCAAATAGTCAGTATCGCAAGAATAGTCTGTATGGCACAAATAGTCAGTCTCGCACATATAGTCAGTATCGCATTTAAAGCTAGTATCATATAAATTGCTGAAATCACTAGGTCATCGACTTCACGAGGGCATTTGGCAGTGTGTGGCAAGCTGGGCTCTGGCTAATAATGAGAAATTTCAACTTCGATAAGAACATCAAAGACAACATTGAAGCACTTTATAACGATGCATGGAGTGCAATACTCATTCAAAATGACATAGGCGCATTTTTTTTTTTTTAAACCAGCGTGGCAGTGAGACATGGTTGCATACCATCCCCTGTCTTTTTCAAATTGTATCTGGAACACATAATGAAAGAAACTCTAGAAAATCATGAAACACCTAAAGCCATTATCGGAAGACAACTATGAAATCTCCGTTCTGTAGACGACTTTGATCTCATGGCTGGTTCCGAATCAGAACTCTAAGAGTTTGCTACAAAATGTTTGCCAAGAAAAGCAAAATTCTGAAGTGGTCACAATAATCCAGTACCTACTAGCATACAGATAAAAGGGAAGGAAAAAAAACAACTAGAAGAAGTTGAAACCTTTAAATATCTCGGGTCCCACATATGTAACGATGGCAGATGTACCAAAGAGATCCAGACAAGACTTGATACGGCAACAGCCGCGATGTCGCAGCTGAATAAGATGTGGAAGAGCAAAATCAGCATCTCAGTCAAGGTCAATATTTACAAATCACTGGTATTGTCTATTTTTTGTATACGGATATGAGAGTTGGACTCTCACTGTGGAAATAGAAAGGGGATTCGTGCTTTCGAATGTAAAAGCTATAGACGCATTTTAGGAATTCGTTTTTTAGAACACAAAACTATTAAGTATGTCAGAGACCAAATTTACAAACTTGCAGGACATCAGGAGCCTCTCTTGGCAGTGGTGAAATGTCACAAGCTAGCTTGGTTTGGGCACGTGGTGAGACATGATTGGATTGCAAAGACTTTGCTTTAATCAACATTTGGTCGAAGAAGACGAGAGCAAAAAAGAACATGGAATGACAACATCAAGAAATGAACAGGACTAAGTTGTCATACACTTATTCATCCAGCGGAAGACAGAGAAAGATGGCGGGTTTTATGTGCTAGTGATTCCATCAAAACACCTCCACGACCCTAAAGGGTCAAGGGTTATGTTATCGCTTGTTGCGGCTGGCTGAACAATTAGAACGCTGAGCTCTCAAGCGGAAGACCTGGTTCGAATCCTTGGTAAAGTTTGGGAGTATTTTTTTTTCTGTCAGGAGCACACACAAATAGTCAAAAGTGCACAAATAGTTGATATCGCACACAAAAATGACACTCCACAAAAAGACAGCATCGAACAAATAGCTAACATAAAACAAACAGTATTACAGTAGACCCTCCAAATTTGACCACCGTTTTGTGCTTACCGCCTTCCATTGTTGACTTTGAAGTCTATCTATCTATCTATCTATCTATCTATCTATCTATCTATCTATCTATCTATCTATCTATCTATCTATCTATCTATCTATCTATCTATCTATCTATCTATCTATCTATCTATCTATCTATCTATCTATCTATCTATCTATCTATCTATCTATCTATCTATCTATCTATCTATCTATCTGTCTGTCTGTCTGTCTGTCTGTCTGTCTGTCTGTCTGTCTGTCTGTCTGTCTGTCTGTCTGTCTGTCTGTCTGTCTGTCTGTCTGTCCGTCCGTCCGTCCGTCCGTCCGTCCGTCCGTCCGTCCGTCCGTCCGTCCGTCCGTCCGTCCGTCCGTCCGTCCGTCCGTCCGTCCGTCCGTCCGTCCATCCATCCATCCATCCATTGTTGACTTTGAAGTCTATCTATCTATCTATCTATCTATCTATCTATCTATCTATCTATCTATCTATCTATCTATCTATCTATCTATCTATCTATCTATCTATCTATCTATCTATCTATCTATCTATCTATCTATCTATCTATCTATCTATCTATCTATCTATCTATCTATCTATCTATCTATCTATCTATCTATCTATCTATCTATCTATCTATCTATCTATCTATCTATCTATCTATCTATCTATCTATCTATCTATCTATCTGTCTGTCTGTCTGTCTGTCTGTCTGTCTGTCTGTCTGTCTGTCTGTCTGTCTGTCTGTCTGTCTGTCTGTCTGTCCGTGTCCTGTCTGTCTGTCCGTCCGTCTGTCTGTCTGTCTGTGCGTCACCGTCCGTCCCGTCCGTCCGTCCGTCCGTCCGTCCGTATCTATCCGTCTATCCGTCCATCCATCCATCCATCCATCCTATCTATCTAATCTATCCATCTATCTATCTATCTATCTATCTATCTATCCATCCTCCATCCATCCATCTATCTATCTATCTATCTATCTATCTATCTATCTATCTATCTATCTATCTATATCTATCTATCTATCTATCTATCTATCTATCTATCTATCTTATCTATCTATCTATCTATCTATCTATCTATCTATCTATCTATCTATCTATCTATCTATCTATCTATCTATCTATCTATCTATCTATCTATCTATCTATCTATCTATCTATCTATCTATCTATCTATCTATCTATCTATCTATCTATCTATCTATCTATCTATCTATCTATCTATCTATCTATTTTAGTCTACCATATTCAACAAGTCACTGTTGTGTTAACATTTGTCCCTTCTTGTATTTTAGAAAAGGAAAACTCGACGCACTTCTAGGAGACTACTCGATTCTAGACTATGCACGAGCACACCTGGCGCCCTCATGTGAACTCAAACTCATCTCCAAACTCTTTGGTGAAGATCGGTATGGACTAGGTCTACCCAAGGATTCCCCGCTTAAGGTATAATATTTCATTGTCCTAATCTTAGCCTTTGTCTTTTTCGTAGTCTTAATAGAGGTTTCACATTCACTGCAATCGGGTCACCTCTTACTTGCTCTGTTCCGGCGCCAGTGAAAACCAAATGAAATGTTCCTCACTGTCCCATTTTAAAAACTGATAAATAAACACTTGTCCATGCACAATCAAGAAATATGTGCACGCAGTAAATGCATAAGGCAGTTTCTAGAGGCGCTAAAGCCAACAATAGCTTTAAAACAACAATAAATGTCGTCCCATAGTGGGGCTGAGTTAGTATTTACACAGGAAGACGTATGTATTGTGTAAGTTGTACCCCACCAGGTCATCAGACAAGCGATAAACACCCAGTGACACAAAGTGCGACCATGGAGATGAGGATCAGCCGTGGAGAGCTCTCGGAAACCATGTTGAGCCGTTAGGCCATATTTCCGGCCCAGCTATGTTAAGGGCCCCTAGGCAAAGGCTACGGTGAGGCTTCAAAATAACAAAAAATTGTATCTCACAAGGGAATGAAGAGGTTATAATAGGAAGACGTAAAAACTGAAGTGAGCAAATACTCTGTGTGTTCCTGTGGCGCATCGAGTACAAGATCCCAGAATAATCTCTTTACATCAGTCGGATATCGATGAATGACCTAGCTTACACCACGCCGACCGCCTTTACTTCCGATGGCATTTCCCGGTATCCATTTTGGATGTCTCGACCCCGTGGCTAAAGTGAATTCTGACGTCATGAGGATTTAAACCTGCACTACGCTACCACGACTCCTGGTAGATGAATGTTGTGTTTTGAAGTTATCTCTTGTATCCATTGGTGTGGCAAGATCTGGGGGTACCCAGTGGGGGAATTCTTTTTCACACACCTCAACCCAACCCCACCCCCGCAATTATTCCCCTCGACCCCCTTCCACACCCCTATATATAAATACATATTTGGGCCATTTTGCAACCCCATCCCTCCTATATGATGACTCGTGCGCCCCCCTCCCTCCCGCGCTACCTTCTCACCTCTTCTTCCTACGCCACTGCACTTACCACACAACAGTAATCATCGCTAATAGTTTACTTTTGTGTTTCTACATGAAGGCAGCTTTATCATCAAAGATCTCGGAGTATCATCTAACGGGATACATTGATGATCTCATCGATGTTCATTTCGCTGACGCCCATTGTATCAAAAAGCGGATATCAGAAGAGGATTCCCAGCTGGAAGTCACCCATCACGCCGGTAGGTCGGAAAGTCACGTAATCCGTCTCTGTAAAACTCAGGTAATTAAATAAAATTACGTATTTACCTAGCTGGTTATTTACTACATCGCCGGTATTTCAGTAATAACGTGGAATTACCCAGACTGATCAGGGCTGAATCGGTTAAAGGTTAGGATACCTGACTGTCGAATTTGGCAGTATTGATTCTAACTAATGATATGGGGGGTATTCCTCAATCGCTAGCTCCTTTTAATAAAATAAATCCGTAGTCTTTTTTAGGTTGTTGAATGGTGGCTCCAGGGTCAGACGAAAATGAGTAGTGTCCTCAATAAAATCCTTTGTCTAGACTGGGGTCATATTGGAATGTGTCCGTATGTGTGCAAGCGACAGTGTGTTAAATTGTGTATGTGTATATGTATATATGTGTGTGTGAATGTTTGTGTGTGTCTGTGAAATCTCTAAGTTGTCATCATCATCATAGAATGCAATGACGGTCACCGTGCACAGGTGTGGTTCGCATTGCTCATTAAATCACGTGTCTCCGACATGTTTGTATTATTCACCATGTGGTATCCGGGGTCCCACTAAGACCCTTCATTTTCAAGCACTTTAATGATATTCGTGTACCCCAAAGAGCCGTCTTAACAGCCTTGTGGGACCCGGGTTAAACTATTGTGCTAAGGCCCTTACGACAGCTACTGACAGGAATAAAATGCAAATGGCCACCTGATAGACACAGATTAAATAAGGCCTCTATGCTCATACCCCCCCCCCCCCCCACTGTGTTTTAAGACGGCATTGGTGTCCCCATATATGTAGTTCAAAGTATAAACATTAATTAGCTACAAAATATGAATATAAATAAATCCAAATTAAACAAAACTGCAGTGAGATTAAAAGTAATGGATATTTCTGTTTACTCCCACTTTTTTTTATGTTTGAAAATGTTTCTCCTACTTTTTTTTTTTCTTTAATTGCAAAGTCTTTAATTAGATCCTTAAGGGTAATCTTATGTAACAGATTTGATTTGATTAAAAAACCGATATCACTGCACTCGGGGCATTCCCATAAGCAATTCAGCAGCTAGCGAGGAGTTCCGATACTAATGGTGCCAGTAGCATTCTGATTAAACGTCCATCTTGCATTTCCTCTGAGCCTTTAGCATCTGTCAGAACCTCTTGTCACTCCCCCCTGCATCAATCTCACCAGACTGTGGTGATCCGTCTGCTCCTCCGAACTATTCACGCTCTCCTATAAGGCAGTAACCACATCTGCCTTATCATGTATCAGTATTCCACCAAGCTGTGTAGAGCCAGCCAGTCTGTACGCCTGTTCATTTTCCAACACACCAGCGTACCCGGGTTTTAAAAATCCAGACAAAAATCCTCATTCTTGTCCTCCGCAGCGAAGCATGCCACTCTGCACGAAGCATGCATGTCCTGATCTTCCTCAGCATGCTTTCTGAGTCAGTTACAATCATGATGTGTGTGTGTCATGTTCTCTAGCCAGCGGAAAGCTACAGTCACCGCCTCCACCTCCATTCTTAAGCTGGATGTTGTGGTATCATATGCTAGGCTCTCCTGCACCAAACGTCGACCATTAACTTGTGCTAAGAATTCCAAGTCACTTCTTTTGCATCTTGACACTCAACCGTCTGTGTAAATGATCACATCTTCTTGAAATAATTGCTGAATTTCCACCTCTGTTGCACCTGCTGGTCTCTGCAATACCGGCTCAATGTGATTATTACCCTACCCAAGTATGACTGTTCAGGTGACACTTTGACCCACTCATCTCCTCGCCTAATGTTCTTAAGGATGCAAACCTGTCTGATTGTGTCTACTGCCTGAGCCATCCATGACTTCCCTCTTATCAGCCGCTGACCCTTAACTGCACCCATAGCTTCGTGCGAAGGGTGATCTGTGTCTGCAATTACCCTATAGATGTGCTTCTATACTTAACTGAGATAAGACATCCAACCTGCATTGTTGATTGCTCTTTTGATGGTATATATATTATATATATATATATATATATATATATATATATATATATATATTAACTATACTTTAATTGAGAAAAATAAAAACGCTCAGTTGCAAGGCTATTTAATTTTTTTGTGGTGCCTATTCCTGTGTGATGCCCTGAACACGTGCTTAGTTAATCGGCCCAGCATTTAGTGAGGTCATTAGGGAAGGATTCAATTTTTCTTTCTGCTGCATCAGATGCGAATACGCAGAAGAGGGAATTTGATAAACAATACAGCATATCAAAGAACAGAACTACTTGAAATGCGTTTGGTAAATCTGCATACTCTACAAGCGGATAACTGAAACTAGAATGTCTTTATGCCGAAACGCACAGCTAAATAAATAACGGAAGACCTGTAGCAAAAACAAAACACAAAAACTAAGATGGCGAAAAAGCAGTCTAAACTATATGCAATGGCAAAGTACACAACTTAAAATGAGTTTGTTAAATCCTCGTGACTCACAAGGTGATAACGGGAGAGAGAGAGAGAGAGAGAGAGAGAGAGAGAGAGAGAGAGAGAGAGAGAAGGAGAGAGAGAGAGAGAGAGAGAGAGAGAGAGAGAGAGAGAGAGAGAGAGAAAATTAACGACATAGACAATAATTACACAAAAGCCGAAATAATGACTGTTTAGACTCAACGTCCAATCTCATCAGCAGAGATTTGTCGGCTTGGGCCAATGCTTTTGTAGATTGTACGCCATCAGTTTTGTGACATCTACAAAATGTCAACTTCTGTCATTACCCAGCTTTAGCGCTGATAGATTCCTTCAGCAGTGTAAGGCTGACGTTGCTAAGACAATCATTAAATTCAAGCCCTGACGTTGCTAAGACAACCATTAAATTAGAACCAATCAGTGGTTGACTCCACACAGACCCGAATCAGTGCCTGGACTATGTTACAGAAGATTGGCTTATCTAAGACTGACAATTGAGATTGAGTTCTTTGGCAGCTGTGACGTAGTTCTTTAGCAGGTGATGGAAGTTTTTGACACGTCTCATTTTATCATACCGGTCACGGTAGCGTGGTTATTGCCCGTGGGGTTTTCTTTTCTAGAATACTTACATAGGCAAGGTTGACGTTTTTTATTTTCTAGAGCAAACATGGATAACAGTTTACAGTTTTTAGAGCAGCAACACAATAAAATTTAATTTAACTATTTAATACGGCAGTGCTTCCAAAACTTTTTGTTTTCCCCATCGCCCATTTTATAAACTACAAATTCACCAAACCTCTGTCTGTCCTTGGAATATCATCAGCATCATCACGAGTCATATTGATACGCAAAGGAATGAATAATTACCTTCATACATGATGAGCAATACCACAGATCAGTTTTGTGCTCTTGTCTACACCAAGCATGTGATTAATTCATCCTGGTACTTATCTCTTTGTCTTCCCTTGCAATCTTTCCAACAAATGCTTCATTTGTCAAAGAATTATCGAGTCTACTCCATTCTTTCAAATATACCTTCAGTCAACGATCAAACAAAAACGTGAGGTGACAATTTTTGTTTATTGTTCATGTCCCTTTTTTTTTCTTTTCCTGCGTCCTACAACACAGTCACACAAGTGGGGCGAAAAAGGAGGTTCTCAGTTCAGTCGCACGTACGTAATCGCACGCTTCATCGGACAAGAATGGTTTGTCTCAATAATTGCAACGCAAATTGAAAGCCTAACCTTTATGTTTGTTATGTTTGAAAAAAGAAGAAGAAGAAGAAGAAGAAGAAGAAGAAGAAGAAGAAGAAGAAGAAGAAGAAGAAGAAGAAGAAGAAGAAGAAGAAGAAGAAGAAGAAGAAGAAGAAGAAAAAGAAGAAGAAGAAGAAGAAGAAGAAGAAGAAGAAGAAGAAGAAGAAGAAGAAGAAGAAGAAGAAGAAGAAGAAGAAGAAGAAGGAGAAGAAGATTAGAGAAGAAAAAGAAGAAGAAGAGGAAAAAGAGGAAGAGGAAGAAGAAGAAAAAGAAGAAGAAGAAAGAAGAATTAGCAGGAGGAGGAGAAGGAGTAGAAGAAAAGATGGTGATGATGATGATGATAATGATGATGACAATTATAATCATGATAATGACGATGATATGTTAAACGGATGTGCACGCAAACTCAAGTTCTGGAACAAGACTGATGTCCAGAAATGGGCGAACTACCAGGACTTTCTGTCGGCTGCAGACGATGAAAGCAAAGAAGAAAGAAGGTGAAGATGATGATGGGTTTGTACTAGACCGGAGAAGCCCTAAGTACCAAGATAAAATAAATAAAAAAAGAGTTCGTTTAGGTGGGGGAGAGATCAAAATATCTCACCCAGGCAAGAAATCTTCTGTGTAAAGTCTAGCCCAGGCAAATAACGAATAAAATAAACTAGGCACACCAACTACAAGTCCTAAGCTGAAGGAAACAACTGTAACTATGAATACAACGTTGAACATAATTTTATTTAACATCACATCAGCGTGGCCAACAAATAGCGCCATTAACGACAAGAACGTACTCGAACAAAACCTAAAATGCTAATCGCCAAACCAAATGAACGTACCACCGCTTGGAATCAGTCAGACCGCGGACTTTCCCTACGCTCGCCATGCCTGTTGACTGACCCATTGTGCAAAGCACAGTCGCTAGGTTAGGCTAGCGCAGAGTCCGTCCGGAAGTCGAATAGATCGCTGCAAGACTAAACAAAATCTTTTATAACCCAGTGAGCCAGATTTTTTCCGTGTTATCGTCTAACACTAATAAATGGTAATGTTTCTCCTTTGGCTTGTTGGCCATTTTCAAACCAGAATAAATTCAAGATCTTCAGGCTGCTGAACCGTATGTGTCCAGCCTGTTACACGTCGGCTTATTATTTTTGTTGACGTCCTGGCAACTACACAATAGATAACATAAATTATCTACAAATCATCCACCAACTCCTGCTCTACATTCCACAGAGTTACTGGCCATAGCCACCTGGAAAAAAATCATCCTCCTAACATCATACAGTATCATCAAATAACATTCAC